GAGCATACTTATGAACTGTGATAATATTCTGTTGAATCCATTCCTTTTGTTTCTCAAGCAAATAGGCTTCAATTGCAGTAAGAAAATCAAGTAGTTCAAATTTGTTAGCTCCATCCAGAAGATTAATCCAACCTGCACGTTTGCATGAATCATAGAAAACTTGCCCAGTATAGATAAACCTACAGAAGCAATTTTATATTTAAGTTGCAGTGAGCTTCAGTGTTGATATAATAAGCATGATATTTTGATATGTTTTTTAACATGTGAGGTTTACCTAAGCAGAATTTCGAACACATCAGGTGACACATCTTCCAATGTCATAGCGGCCTTTTGAATCTCTTTAGACGTCTCTATATCTCCGGTTAAGCTATTCTCAAAGAATGGGTTTCGTGTGCACAATACCAGTGTATGAGCGAGAACTATTTTGTTATTTGGCTCCTTTCCAACATAAATTGAAATATCCGCATATTTGCCGCTTTCATAAAGCTTCGCATAGTCTGATAAAAGGCCTGAGGACAAATCAACTATGATATTCATTTCGTTTAAAAAATAAATCTAAATCGCATTCATTATCATTGATATATCGATTTTGTCGATCGTCTGTGACATCATCATTCAATAAAGCAACTCACGCAATATTAATATATTGTATCTATTGTTCTATAACGAACGAGTTAAACTTAGTATATGTAATTTGCGTCACTGTAATACCGCATTGTGGCAAAGGTCCCCAAAACGTAATTTACATACCCACATCTGCTTGTTGATTCAATATTTTAAGTCAACATTCTTCTTAAAGGAAAAGTAGTTCAGGCTCAAAAGTTAGAAGAATATCGTATTATCAATACTTTCATTCTCCACTCTTCTTCTCTTTAGTGTTCTAGTATCCTTGCTAGAGTATAGCTATGTAATTGTTAGATGTTTAAAGAAAAACTGTTTGCGACGGGCTCTACAGTCAACTCTGTCTATACCGGCGCGAGTGGTTTGGCGGTTTTTGGCCCACGATTAGTTTTTAGGAGAAAAAAAATTAAAAAAAAAAAACAAAACAAATCAAACCATTAATTTCTCTTTATTATAAACTAGCTAGGCGCAAGAACACAACAATCGCAAAGATGATAAAATGCCATCGCACGATCTAATGATATGAATCCTTAAAGACGATTGAATTAATTATATATGAAATAAATAGATACATGATAAAAAATTGATACATGATAAATAAATTGATACACGATAAAAATTGATACGTGTTTGAGGCGGACAGATTCCGCCATCACCCGTATTAGTGTTGAAAGTAGAAAACATATACACTGACCATTAATCAAAATCAGTCAGTGATGAAGCTGAATTTAATTCAGACATAAAGTATCGTCCCTATTGGTAGGAGCAGGATATCTTTTGTAGGGGAGGTACGACGAATTACTCTTATCACATGGTAGGCATATCTGGATTAAAGATTAAACCGAACAAATACAAATATGTATATGCAAGATTCAATAAGATTCTTGTATTATCGAAAAGGAGGAATTGCAATACCATCGCCATTCATGCTTATTTGGATAACCCAAAGGATAACGATGTCCGACGGGTATTGAACTTTCCAGCATTCACACGATACCCATAGAACGCATATCGATATGCGCATCATTCTTCTCCTTCTCTTTCTCTAGCAATAATTGACTTTTAATTGATGCCGGTGATGGAGCCAAACTCGAGTTAAGAGTGATCGGACATAAAGTATTATTCTATTGGTATTATTGGTAGTGCTGAATCGGGGTTGGAGGCCGGTGTTGTCTTGCACGACAGCAGATTGACGTCGACTCATTTGAACTATGTTTGATGCCGCCTAGCGACTCTCTCAAATTTTTTGGTTGGGGGAGATACGTCAAATTACAACATATTAATATGTACCTATTATAATATGCAAGATTCGATTAGATTATGGTATTATCGGAAAAGGGATTGCAATAATGTTGCCTCATTCTTACCTCATGCTTATTTGGATATATGGTTAGTGCGGAAGGGCAGAATGTGAAAAACCCTTTTGTCGGTTGTATGGTCGATAAACCGTGTTTATTAAGTGTTGAGAGTTCGTTGCTAGTGTCGTATGTGCGTATATGGAGTGGTAGTAAACGTTTGTTGCATTGTATATTTAAGCAACGTTGCGATGTCTATAAGAAAATAAATTTTATTAATTTTATGGTTTGGAAGATAACCATAAACAACTGAAACGGCATGTACCTGCAAATATGTAACTGTGTCGACAGGTAGAACATACTTCAATAGAAGTAGAATTAGAGAAAATATTTATTTGTTCTACCGTTCGTTTGCTTCCTAATTATGATACAGATATTGGCCAATGGGACCATGGTTGCACAACTGATAATTTTAGATTGGTCGAAATTTAAATTCTTCGCTTTTTGATCGTAATTCGAACTTTTCTTATTGTTATTATCAAGTAGTTCGTAAATTGGTCATGGTTTAACCCTAATTAAGATGGAAATATCTTATTTCTAGAATAAATTATATACTGATACGGGTGAACGATCGGTGGAATGTAAAACACTCATTTGAAACGTCGAGTCTTTTAGATTTATTTAATGATAAGTTAGCATAATATTCTTTTACTTTTTTTTTTCCCAGTAAAAGCTCTCAGCGCATTTTAGTGGAGTTGGCTAAATTAATTAGAACCGTATTGACGCCATTTCTCCTGCATAAATTGCTCTATTTTGTAATTTGTTTTTCTACATTTATCCTAAACTATCTTTTAATTAATTTAAATCCGTGGTCAGCCTGCTAAGTTTGGCACATTATTATCAAGAAATGACTTGACAATTTTGCTGGTATGTTGATGGTAATTGCTCGTAAAATGCCTTTCCTGTAAACTGTCATGCGGAATACGTTTATAGAGATGGCAGCGTTAGTCACCAAAGTTTTCAATGACAAAGACGTGTCTCCCCGAATGCTTGTGCCGTGCCAGTTTAATTTTTTAATATTGTAATAGATTGCTAAAAGTGATATTTTAGTCAGAGTGTGCAATTGCTTGAGATATAACACCATTGTTCCATAAGTGTAATGGGTTTGACAAGAGCACTTTGGTTTCAATATAAAACATTCTGAAAAATACAGTCAATTGGCTATACCGGCGTGAATTGGTTTGGCAGTTATATATAGAATTGGTACACATGGAAGTAAATTGTGTAACCACATAAATTTGTGCTATAAACTTGTTGAATTTGCGAACTAATTTAATTGACTTCGTTTTATATTATTTACCTTTTCTTTTTCTATATCACGCAGGGTCCGTATTATTTCATCGACAATCATTTCACCGACAGTACATTTCACAGACAATTAACTACCAAAAAAGAATAACTTCGAAATAATGTTGGTGAATATTTGTCGGTGAAATGATTGTTGGTTAAATGATTGTCGATGAAATGATTGCCTCCCATCACGCAGTAATCGCCGTATGAGTAGATCATCTCTACTAATACTAACCTCTATGTTGTAATTACGATTTTCGTTTTAAAAACATTAGTGTTGTCTGAGTGACAGAGCCACTTCCTGCTTTCACGAATAATATCACCAACGGTGCTCTACCACAACCAAACAGTTATAATTCTGCATTAGTAAAAGAAGGATTGCTTAATTTAATTTGATAAAATTTCTTCTTCTGCCTGTTAATGCGTTTAAGTGTCACTATGTCTGTATTAGAATTATTCTCTTGCATTGCGTGGTAATAATTAAGAGAATTGGTTAAATTATTATTAGATACTGTACAAATAATTACTTGAATTCGTCGGTATAAAGTATAATATAAGTAACACTATGTCTATATAGTTTTAGCCGGAGCAGGTATAAACCAGAAAAGAATCTCTTAGGCTAACTTTATCTTATCAGAGATTATTGTACAGCTCCCCCTTCCATTAATGCTACCCACTAGTTCCCTTCTATCAATTTCCGTCACGCATCTAATACGATCTTATTGGTCGGCAAACGGTTCATCTAACCGCTTCTTTAATACCGCATTCTCAGATAGCAATTGTTAATTGAAATTTTCTAGCCCCTCTATGCTGGATCTGGTAACGACACTTGGACTCCAGAATCGCAAAAAGTCCTTTCGAACACCGGCACCTCGTTATTGTTAGAAAGTCTTAATCTTTTTCTCTCTGTTTTTTCCGAAAAACTTGAATCTAGTTTAATGGCACGTTTAATATAAAACTTTTTAACGATGATCTGGTTATAGTGCCTTTCACATAAAGAGTAATTCTCTAATACAGATAGTTCAGGATAATACTTAGCCATTTCTATTATTCCTTTTGCTGCAGCACTAGCTGACGCACGACGCCATCTTTGATTTTCCTTAGTCTCGCATTCTACTAAGACTAACTGACTTTCGACAAGAGAATCGAACAAACAGGGCAAGTCTTTGGCTTCTAGCCTTGCATTCGTTATGTACAAAGTGTAAAGTTTAAACTGGGTTTAAGAGGAAACTGTTTTCTAAAGTTGCGTGGATCCCGTGGATTCTGGGACTAATATGCTTGTAAAAGTATGTTATTACCGTTAGTTTCGTTTCTGATCGACAAAGCGTAAAATTATTGTACGCCAATCAGATTGCGAGTACGCTTGCAGATTATTCTAGAATCTGATTTACAAATTCGGAAATCTCCCTGACTGCAATGATAAAAGTTGACAAAAGCAGTATTTGTCTCCCACTCTTCGTCTTTACACACTATTCTTCAAATAAATAAATAAAGCAGTATTTGCCTCTTATTTCTTACATTCTTTTCTGGACGTAAATATCATAGTAATGAATATCTGGTTCAAATACGAAGGCGAGCCGGTGGAAATTTCTTTTAAGGGAAAAAACGTTAATGCACTGAAGGAACAAATTAAGACCAAACTAAAAAACCAGCTGGGAAAATTTGATATTGATCAAATAACATTACGAGCACCTGGAGAACATGAGAGCTTATGTGCGGAAATGTTGATTGACGAAGGATTTGTAACAACTTACAACGAACCTGTTGTTGTTGAAAGTAAGCTTTAAGTCAACATGACGCACGCGCTTAACTGTTTTAACACGTGTCTGTATGATATCTTGCTGTGCTGTTATAACTAATAATTCTTATTATCATATTAGAAAATTGTGAAAAAAGGTTTCATATTCAATGTTATGATAATGAAGGTCTGCCGTTGGACAAATTTCAGCAATTTACAATGTGCGACAACGAAGATTTCAGGCAATTTTTAAAGAGAGTGGAGGCGAGAGGATTAGAAGACATTGAAGATAACGATAAAATTATCACATCATTTAAGAATATTCAAGCTAACAAATTTTACCGGATTAGTGCTTCGTATCTCAAGGCAGTAAAAAATGGTGTCATGTGGACACAAGTCGAGGATGTGGCATTAGAGGATGAAACGAGATTGGCTGTGGCAAATATCATTACAAAAACGCTCAAGTCCCCTGTCATAGACTTTCCTAACCGAGTTATGCATGACGAAGCTGGCCAGGCGATCATGGAGTGGGATGGCATCTTCCTATGTTGTAACAAAGTGTTTCTATGTGAATCAAAACACAAAATGACCGAAGTAAGTAAAAAAATTAATTGGAGTGAGTTTCATGAATCTGTTGGATAATTTCACTGACAAATTTGACATTTTAAGGAAAAGATTGCCACGCTTGTTAAAAGATTAGGGGAATTTCCAAATAAACTGGAGGTAACGAAAGATTTCGAATTCAAGAAATTATTGGGTATGGAATATATTGGAGTCGCTTGTGCCACATTTTTTCCGAAAGAACTAAGACAGAAGTGTGTGGATAAACTTGGATTAGTCGTTGCATATCCAGGAGGTGGCCGTTATTGTGTCGAAGTACCCGCAAAAATATATGGACGTAAATGGTGTAATTATTTGTAGTATCAATCATGATTTTATATCTAAAAATTACGTTATTATTATTAATATTTCATTACTTTATCGCGTATATAGCTTATGTTTGTAGTGCAAATATTCATGTATTGGTAATAAATATTGCACAAAAACCCGTACATTCGACGATACTTATGCATTGCATTATTACGAGTTATGGATGTCAAATGCTATTAGAAGACTTAACGAGCAATAGAAGTCGGCGCCGTACGGCAGAAAAAGATGCGAGCATGCGTTCTTATCCAACATGAATGGATAGAATTCATGTATCGTTCCAATGGTTTAATTGTCAAGCGGTTAGCAGAGCATTACAAACTTTATGGACTATTCGCGAAGAAACGCGTCAGCAGCAATATAAGATTCTCTTGCTTTGAGTAACGTCAGAACTTACAAAATTTTACGCACGGAGCTCGACTATGTCAAGAGCGGAAAGAATACTCGCATCTATAATTTTTAATTTATTTATCTAGTTTGAAAGCCGAAATTAATTCGCTCACCGTTATTTTCAAAATGGTGCCTTCACAACTAATTTACTAAATCATTAAAACGGACTTGGAATAAAATTCCATTTCCTATGTCAAAAATTTCTCTAAATCCTCTATACTTCAATGTGCCAGTTTTCTACGCTAGTATCCGACTTGGAAGTATTTTCCATTGTCTGAAGACGAATTGCTGAGAAAAGTTTTACAAATATCGCTGTTTTTTGCTTGGTGGTACCGTTAACTATGTTAAAACGGAAGGCGGTGCGTTTGTAGATTGCTCCTGGCGCATTTGCCGCAATTCTTTGTTCTATGACCAATTTGCCGTTGGGGTCATATTTTCGGCGTTTTTCCAAGGGACTGTAATCCCGACGTCGGTATTTTTCCAATGTCCAATCGCCTACCTGTCTTGAAAGTAAATAAAATATTCCTATTTTCATAATTTCCTTTAATCTTGATTTGGGTCCCTGTTACGACAATTTACAACGGCTGTGTCGTTAAAGCCCAACATATTCCATTCGAATAAAGGGTAGCATTTTGTTATTGTCGTCTATTTCACGGTGGATTATTTCTAAAATGATGGCGAGATTTTCTTGAGCCAAAAAAAAGAAAAAAATTATTATACAATTGAGGCATAACATTAGTATCTCTTTTTCCTTTTAACCACTTTCTTTTTCCATATTCACCCAACTGTTGCTACTTACCTACACCACTCTTTTCTGCGAGTTTCTTAATTGCGCTATGTGTATCCTGTATGAAAACAGTTAAAACGTGTTAAGAAAGGAATAATCAAAACCTTTACGATGAATTAAGCTGAAAAGGCTCGACATTTTTGTAATCAAACTTACAATAATAAAATTCCAGTCGCATGCACCGTGAATTTTTCTCGATTTTGTGATGCCATTCTTTAAGTAGCCATTAGTTGGATTATCGTGTACCGTTTATTATTATTACATAATGCACGTGATTATAAAATACAATTCTGGTTACTGTGATTACTATAAACCAACCCCCTAAGTTAAAGTTTGTTATTACTATTACGTGACGGTTTGCATATGATCGAGGGGGTGTGTGCATAGTAACTAACAAACAAACAAGTCATACGGTCTTAACAGTCGAAAATAAACAATAGGTGGTGTCTAATACAATGCTGTGTCGTCGAAAAATTCAATTGCAGATCGCGAATTTAAAGTACTATTTATACAGCGATTTGTTGACCATTATTACGGGTATTGTTAGGTGAAAATGGTTAACTCGTTATTTATTTCCCATTGTTGAATTGATTCTTGTTGTTTACTCAATAGCTAACTCATACCCGGACATCAATGATCATACCATTAATCATCAACTGTCATCGTATTTAAATGAATGACTTTCTCTCTTTCATTTCTCATCTCAAGCCACTTTCATAAATCACTTCTATACAAACTAACCCTTCTCCTTTAGACCCTCCCCCTCTTCATCGCCAATATACGACTGCACAAAGCGTTTCCAGCCTTCTTCTACATTCAACACCCTTATAGCAGCAAGTAAACTTGGCTTGCACTAGTGGCAGGCGAAAATCCTGAACAGGTAGCCACAACGATTGCAAAATCTCCTGGTGTCTCTAAAGTTCTGACTGCCATATGGGCATGGTATATCGGAAGTGTATGCTCCACTTGTAATTGCGGCTCAGAAAACGCACAGCTTTACACACTTGTTGGCCTCAAATAGTGCATTTGGAAAGAATATTTTACCCAGAGTCGCGGCATTACTGGATGTTGCGCAAATATCAGACATCATTGGCATCAAAGGAACCGATATATTTATTAGGCCAATATTATACAGGTAATGTTAATTGCGCTTGAATTATTGCTCTTGCTTATATAGGTAATGTAATTGCAAAAAGTAAAGTCTAATGATCCTGTAAAAGTGGTCACTGTTCGTGGCACCGTTTTCCTGCCGTGACAATGGTACACCCACCGCTGGAAAAAGTATGGCGACGTCGTGAGCCTTGTAACAGTGACGGGGTCGATCTGGACGGGCGTCGGATACATCGTGGAGGCAAAGGGAAAGAACTTGAGGCACAAATCAAAGGGGTGGAGAAGGAACTTGAGATGGAGAGAATAGAAAAGAGGATAGAGGAGTTGAGTACGAAGATTGATGGGATGAAGAGGTTTTTACAGGCAATAGCAGCGCAACGCGCAAGGTAATAATTCAACATCTAACACTTATTTATCTAATTTCCCACTTTTAATTATGGAAGGTAACATGGATAGAACCTATTTACAGGTATTATAGACGAAGATACTATAGACGGCCGAACGTGACAACTACCAGGAAGTACCCGAGTTGCAACAGTTATTAAGCCAAGAAGGACGTCAAAAGTGGGTGATCGAGACGGGACGATAGCCAGTATGTTGTTATTGTTTTCCGATTTGTATATTGGAGTTTTGTACTCTTGGAGCAATTACAATGCCCGAATTTGCGAATCAGACAAGAAACCACGCCTACGAAGTAAGAAAAAAAATTCTCCGCCAACTGTATATCAAAAAGTCTTTAAAGACATTAATCGACGAGTCGAGGATAGAACTAGCTTCAGAAGACATGCCGACATATTTGTTCAGTGTGTGGGTTTTTGTCAAAGTACAACTGTAAGCAATGTGGTGCGGAATATTGCTTTATAGCCAGAGTTGACCGTAATCCTAAAATAATTTTTAACGCAGGAACAATGAACAACTATTGGTATGAAGAAGCTTTAAAAAGGTTTTGCTTCGGAACAAAGACGAGACGATGTACCGATTTTTAGCCTTACTTTTGTTTGTAAACCGTAAATTAGGCTTTAGAACACAAATTAGGATTTTACTTCGAATAGAAAATCATAATTATTCTGATTAAAGAACGCGAATAAAAGATAACGAGGTCTTACGCATGTTAGAAGGCCGTTCTTAAAGACTATACATATATTATTTACATTTGGTAGCAGCGGGAATATGTCTTTCACTTACACATAACATAAATGCACTAACGATGAATACTGGTTGATCTAGTATCGAATGACTATAGACATATTATGACCCAATTGTATAAGCACGTGATATTGAGAACTGTACGTCTTACAGTAGCGAACTCACCCACATTCGAACCTGATTTTATTACAATTAAAATATATTTGCAAAATTAAAGTTACAGGTATTTTATGCGGAATCATCTAAATCAGTTTCCTGATACATTTTCCTATCCATCTGACTGAGTAAATCTCAAAAGAGCTAGTGTAAATAAGCTCCCATAGTAAAACGCATGACACTTTCACACGCAAAAACTATACTTGATTGATTGACGAAAACATATAAAAATAATATCATAGTTCTTAAATAAAAATTTCATATAATAAATTCATACTGTCGACAATATCATACATGTCAATTATACGACACATGTAAAGTACGTATAAAAAACACATCTTATAAGATATGCAAATCCATGGTCACTGTTTGAATTGGGAAAAAAGAATTAATGTCTTACATTTATAAACCGACTTTTAGATAATTATCAAGAATTTAAACATTATATTACCTGCAAATGAATCGACATTAAGGCGATTTCTTGGTCGGGGTAAATTTCCTGTAGGTAACAGCTTACTAGAGTATTTACTGTCCTTTTCAGGACGAGATAGTGGTATTATATTCTCATTATAATAAATTTTATTCCACACACTGTTACCGGATTCATCCCATTTTGCTGCCACGATAATGTCTTTAATACAACGCTTGAGTTCATCAGCATCTGGACGCTTGTTAGGATCGGCATCAGAACACCTTTCAGCAAGTTTCTTATAAGGCTTTGGTGCCGAATCGGGCATTACTGGCCGCTTTCCGCCAAGAATGTCGCATACTAAAGACCTATCAAAAGGCCTATCCCTAAAAGGCGGCTCTCCGCTAGCGATCTGATACATTAGAATACCAAACGCATAGATATCCGATTTCTGGGTGAATTGACTGGTATGAAAGATTTCCGGTGCAATGTATGGTAAAACGCCTTGAATGGTCGAGCAACCCGACTCGGATGAGTTCACCGATTTAGAGAGTCCAAGGTCGCAGATGAATAGTTCACAAGTAGATTTTAGCTTACTATCTAGAACTATGTTTCCGCCGTGAAGGTCGCAATGTATTAACCTGTTAATGTGAATAATATAGAGACGACTTGCAATATCCTTCAGACATTCTGCTTTCCTCATCCACGTCAACTTGTTGATATTCTGATCCAAATACGATAAAAGATTACCATTGTCCGCATATTGCATCACGATCATATATTTTTTTGTCTCTGGCTGTTGTGTGACTCCATATATGTGAAGGAATCTGTCAAATGTGCCTATACACATGGCATGATTCCTGAGCTATTTGCGTTAAACAAACATTTGACAAATTAGCATTTTGATTAGTTAGCAGTTAATCGATAATACGACATGAGAGTGCTTACCTCTGATACAAACAGTTCTGGCTTTTCATCAAGTTTCTTGAAACGTTTTAGAACTACGCGTTCGTTGGATTTATATTTGGCCATATAGACCTTCCCATAACCGCCAGAACCAATCTCTTCAAGTTCATCGAAATGTTCATATTGGATAAACTCTAGACTTCTTCCATGCGAATTTTTCATCATTTGTATGAGTCTGTCTAAAACTGAGCGTAAATCTTGATAGAATACCAAATAATAGTCGTGACTATATGGTTCTTGAGCAATACCGATAATCCATATGTTTTGTGAAGTTAATATCATTGGATAGTCTGCTGCTAGCTGTATTGTGCGGAAAATATACAGTGTTTGCAAAACGATTAATAATTTTCAATAACGTTAAGCTCAATACATACAAGAATAAATTACCTGACAAAAATCAAATGATTGGGCATCTTGTGCAGTAACGATTTCCTTGATAACCACTTTTACGATTCTGCTTCCTTCAGCTGTAGGCTCTGACCAATCTGCTGTATGCGAGCACTCATGGTTTAACGCGGATGCTTTTTGTATGTTGGTCAGCTGGGAAAATTCTATCCATTGTAAATAGCTGTCTGTTGGATACATAGTATTCGCCCATGATTTTGCCAAAAGTGTGTCCAAGGACTTGTTACCAGTCGTCCAGTCGGGAGGTCTGGGTGCTTTACAGAGATAACAAAATGCGCTTACTCTACAATCTAAATGCTTTGTACATGCCAGACACAAACCGCAGTCTGCTTCCTCATCATCATACTCGGTTCGCGATTTAATTAAAGCAAATTTTCGTCGTTCTGGGTGATATGTAAATCCGATAGTAATCCAAACGTCAGTTTTGAATGAATCCGAGTGTTCCTTAAACAACTGGCAAAAAAAGAAATTTATCGTGACAAGTTAATAAAAATAAACCATATCTATCAACATGCACAAGATATGCTCATAATAAATGGCTTACGTTGTAATAGTGTAAAGCATGCGTTTCATCGCATACGTCAAGTGGAAACAATCCTACTTTATGGGAGGCGGGTAAACCACTACACAAGTCTCCAGTTAGACACAGGTGGGCCTCGATATCGTTCTTGTCATCCAATAAATTGTTCATTCTAGTTATAGTAGGTAAACTTCTTGTTACATTATTTACAATTGCATTGTTGAGCAAAGGCTCATTATTAGTTATTCCTTCTGGTGTGTCTGTATAAATTTCATTGTTGAGTATGCTGGTCCGATTTTCATAATAAAATTGATCGATACTAGGATAATCCCAGTCAGATGAGCGGGTTCGTTCTCTACTCGTTACGTTACTGCCGCTGTCTTCCAACGTATCTACTCTCGATGGAACGGGTTCCAGGTAAGTATCGTACGCTGGTGTCTGAGCATTGTTGTCATTATGCGACGAACTGATCTGCAGCCAATTTGGAATTCGTTCCCGTTCCCAATGTGTCTTGTATTCGGATATCGTGGTGTTGTTTCCGCTGCCCAACGAGATAATCTCGATACATTCGAATGGAATCCATTCCAGGTAAGCTTCGTTTGCTGATTTCGTTTGTCTTTGCGATTTTCTGATATAACAGTCGAGTTTTTCATTGTTGCTGGTCCATCCGCTTGATAATTCCTTGTGGCCGCATATACACCACACAGGACTACACCTGAATATTTCACACGCAGAGCAAAATCCATATAAAGAATAATAATGGTAAAAATGTCTCTCTGCAATCAGGTAGTAAGCATCCTCGAACTTGGTAAAACCCATTATCGATTCATTACGTCTCTCGAGCCATTTTGAATACCTTCTAAAATGAGTAAAGTCTGACAAATGTTCGTACTCATGTGTTGGGATTGAATATATTCTGGCAAACTTGCGAATAAACTCTGGTATGCATTCATCACTGTTTCCGAGTAACACCATTACAATTTTCTTATCAAACCATGGTTGCTTGTGTATAGCGTAACGGTAATAGACTGTGTGATTGATGGAAGATTGGATTGTTCCTATATCTGTAAATGTAGTGTGAGGTATCCATTCAAGATATGGTTTAGGAGGTTCGAGATATGGTTTAGAAGATTCGATCAGCTGATCAATTGCCGGACACCCGGAAATACTCATCAATTTTCAATATCGGCACCCAACAACTCCAAAGGGACGACATTCCCTTGACAAGTCGTTCAACAGATATGACTCTGGTCAACGTATGACAAGATTTCACGGACCTTTACACCGCCTGGTAAATATGTCTATTTGATCACGAGACATCTGATTGACCAACCAAAATTTGTGTTAGATTCATAGATGGTGAGCAGTCTCCACACGAAAATGCTCACTATTCTACTTTGTCGCTAGTTAAGAATTGTCGTCATTGAGTCGTTCGGTTTCATTCGATCATGCTGGTCAGATCGTTGATCTGTTTCAGATCACTTATAGATTGTGCAGATTGTTTCAAACCAGAAACCAGATCATCATCTGTTTGATCTTGTAAACCCCAAATATTCGGAATTCAGCATATTTTTTGCTTGGTGTTCGGCGGATGAACACAGTTGCATCAATCGATATCTGTTGTGCACAAAAGTCTTTACTGTCGGTAAATCCGTTACAATACTACGATCCTAGTTTTATCTGCACGAACACAAAGTATAACAGTTCTTATTATTAGCTCATTGTCTAAAGCAGGATTTTGATACAGTTCTATCAAAGGTATGTTACAAACCACTAATATAGAAAGGCCGAAGGTAAATGAGTGGAACACGTAGGTTTCTCTTCCCTCAATGCTCCACCTTACAATGCCAATTTAATATATTTATAAGGTTTGAATTGTCAATATATAGAAAAAAACTTGGTACGATCTTTTCCTCATGTTGGTTTAATTAACGATACTCACAGACAACGAACCTTCGTTTATGGCAAGGCGTGAGTGATCGTGCATAGGATAAGAATTGACAATAATTATATCGACGTGCGTTTACCAAATACCGTTAACTATTGAAAATCAGGAACAATTTTACTTGTTCTATGCTTTAAACATAATCACCTGATCATGATTAATCCTATTATAGCAGATGTAACCGTATCAGTCTCAATTAGCACTTCATGTTGCGCGCTTTTCTTCATGACGATATTTTATTGTATGATTTTTCTTGGTTTAGTCCTTTTAGTACTAAAAACGCTAATGTAGAGGATTAAAGTTTTCTCTAGGTAAAGAGCACATAACCACCATTATGTTAGAAATAGTTATTGATCAGTATGTAGGTTATGGCTACACTAGTAACAACTTTGTTATCCGACGTGATCAATGTAGCTTATTTAAGTTAGTAATGAGTATGACTAATTAACAAAAGTAAGATAAATTAGACCAACAGTATTCTCCCACATAATGAATAACTCGTAAGGCGAGAAGCTGATAACGCCATACAAGACTGATTGTTGTCATCGAGCGCTTATAGATAAAGTACAAGATCCAAAAAGAGAATTTAGACCGATTCAAAATCGGGGTTGGCCAAAAATGGCAAAACGTCTAATGCGCCCCTAAGGATGATGTGAAGACACATTCTTCGTATTGCCATATAGACGTAAAAAAATGGATAAATACATTAGGATGGGTCCGTATTATTTCATCGACAATCATTTCACCGACAGTACATTTTACCGACAATTAACTACCAAAAAGGATAACTTCGAAATAATGTTGGTGAAGATTTGTCGGTGAAATGATTGTCGGTGAAATGATTGTCGACGAAATGATTGCTTCCCCATTGGGATAATGGTTTAGCCGAGATGGACATGCCCACACCAAAAATAATATTAGCTTTTCATTCTCATCATAAAGTCTGAGCCATAACAATTAGCTAAACTCGTTCTTGTTTCTCTGTCTGGGTATTTCGTCTAACTGTGTATATTTGTTCTCATAATCTTGTTACTTGTGTGATACATCTCGCCCACCATTATTATTAACTTTATCGTATTGGCTTGATATTCTACGTATAAGTGAGGCTATCCAAAAGCCTAGACTGTTGCATAAATCTAAATAGCACCAAATGCTCTATTAAAAATAGACAAAGGAGACCGGGTATGTGGGCAAAAATTATTGGTTAATAACAGAATTTTCTTTTAAGGATTATGTTCCACTTAACTTAACGAACTAATTTAAGCTGAGCAATCAATATAGACCTTCATTCCACGCAAGATTCAATAACCCCGGACACTGGTATCAATTTACCGATAATCAATTCTACAAAATGCAATTTACTGCGCTTAGAAAAAGGCGTATCTAGGTCCTTAAGCAATTATAGCGGTCGTCACTCTCGATTTTCAAAACGAACCGAGCCTTTACAAGATTTTGTAGAATTGCTAACATTAATTTCCCTGTCATACTTGTTTAATAACAATTATTATTTTATTGTGTTCGTCTTTTCGTTAATTAAGGCGATAGACATACAGAACAGAACGTGGAGAGAACGTGTAAAAAAGTTGGAATTTATTTTTAATTGCTTATATTTTAAGGTTTGTGTGGATATTTATTATAGCTATTACAATATTAAAAACTTCCCCAATCAACCATCTGGTATGTCATTCGTAGATCTAGAGATGTGGAAAAAAAAAATAATTACTACGTTGGGTCGTTATTAGGACTCATAGCATAGGTATACATAATAATTAATTTAAACCCACTCCTAATTTCTAATTAAAAACGCACGCTGATAGTAACATTATAATCGTAAAATCGTCATACCAATCGTGTCCGTGCCACAGAGACCGGTTTTCTAGAAATAGCAGTTACCAGAGTCAAATGTAATGCGGAGCGACTCCATTGTGTTGTTAAAGTTTTCTAATTACTGCTCATGCCATTGTTCGGTCGGTTAATGGTGACCTTGTCATGATCAGTCGGGCGGTTCGGACACTACCACCTTTAATTATCTCCACCAATCAAGTGTTGGAAGTAATTAATTGAAATTAGTATGTATAATGACTATAAAAGTAAAAAATATATGACAAGTTGAGAATAGCTTTATTAATTGGCAAAATTAATGACATGAATGTGTCCAAATGCCGTTATTCCATCCATGGCCCAATTTATTATTAGTTGATCGTTTACCGAATACCTGCAAGCAGTCAATAAATTATATATTTGTATTACTTGAACTCATACTATGATACGCAGAACAGCTTTTAACTTGTTGTGTGTGTCGATCATAATATAGCTTGCCCAATACGGGTAGTAAAGTTTCACCAGAATGTCTGCCATCGTGCGTATTAGTAAGCCAAGTTTATGATGTCCGAACAATATTCCATAATAGCATTTCATTGCCTTAAATGGGGAGAGATGTATTCCGGAGTACAGCGAACACTTCTGATAAGATCAGCAATGGAAAAATATACGAAAATATATCTGCCAGACACTGTCTCTGCACACAAGAAGTCCGAATGTTTGCCATACGTTTCTAATATTTGTTTTTTCTTTCCCTTTCTTTTTTCCGATAGGTACGTCAATTACGGACGAGATCATCTATCTATTATAATACAAGAGTCGGGACCGACGCTTAGCCACGTTTAGAAAACGAGTATAAGGCCCACTTAATTGGAAAATGGCTGTTTTTGTTATTGAATATGAATCTGAATAAGACAGGTTGCTAATTGCGTCGAGTTACAAACACCTTTACAATGCACGGGCATAATTTTATCTTTATTTGTTGTTATGTTATTTATTCAATATATTTAAGTTGAATGGTACAACAAGTTCTTTGTTGTGTGTTCATCAGCAAGTTGCAGTTGATGTTTATGTGTTTGATTTAGTTGTCTCATTTGTCATTCCACTTATCCTACTTTTGATTTTAATTTGTCTTATCTTGTGAATCGTGCAGCTACATATCGGAACATGCATAGGATACGTATAAAATAACAACCGTAAATCAAGTTTCTCATAGATATATTAAGGCTTACTTCGTCAAAAGTAGCGCTAAAACAAATTAGCATATATGCTGGAAATTTTTTATTTTTTATATTTTACAATACTGTATAAATACGGATCATATTTCCCCCACATACATATCGGACTTGCTTTATTCGTTAAACTTGATAACATAAGCATTCAATATTATATATTATATATATTCACATAATACTCTCTTTTCTTTCGATACTCTTTATCTTCATTTTTTCGCATAATGGGACACATTATATCAACTTGTATGGAATTCGCATTCGACCGTCCCTCATCTGTCTCCACACCGCCGGATCAAGAGGAGAGTAAATCTGTCTTTGCAATCGGTGAATCAATAGAAGAAATATTGTATCTTCATCATGTTGTATTCAAACATTTTTGGGGAAGAAACTATGTCAGTCCGGTTGTGTTGAGTAATGAGGATGAAACGAAGCCAAAGCAAGTACTGGACCTTGGGTGAGTAAAACAACTTCAGAGGACATGTGACATATCGGTTAGTAAATGCCTTGAATGTATTTATAAACTTTCTGACACCGAGTCACCATATTATATTTTATAAATTTGCTGATTAATTTTATATAGAGTTACAATGATATACAAAGTAACTGCTGCCAGTTTAGATAAAAATTACTTTATACAATTGTTTACGCACTAATGTTAGTTTTACTTCTAATTGAGGTAATATACATATATCAGTAATTATTACCTTAATTTTTTTTTACGTTTTAAAACTAATTTACGGATCTTGTTTTCTTCTTAATAAGCTGCGCTACAGGCATGTGGACCGTTGACATGGCTTCGATCTTACCGACAACCAATTTCATCGGCGTCAACCCGTTTGCCATTTTCCCAAAGTCAGCACCGTCAAATGTCTCGTTTTGTCGGCAAAACGTTTTAGATGGTCTTCAATTCGACGATAATTCATTCGATCTTATACATGAAAGGTTATCACTGTCCGACTTTACAAAAAAACAATGGGAAGAAATTGTTATACAAGAAATTGTTCGAGTATGTAAGCCCGGAGGATGGATCGAGTTTGTCGAGTCAGACGCCTGCATTTGGAATAAAGGAAGAGTGTTAAGAAGAATTGGACACTCTTGTAAGTCTTTCTTTTATCTTAACTGTATGTTGTTTTTTATAATTAAATACTGAAAGTTGTGAGATAATAATATGCGTTATATGGCATTTTGTCATATAAATTTTACAAGTAACCGATTTCTTCATACTCTATCCATCACAGTCCTCTAATTTTTATTATCACAAATTTCCAAATTTTCCAAATTTAATATCAGGTAAAAAGTTATTTTTAGCAAGAGGCCTGGTTCCAAATTTGGGTCAATTTCTCCAAGTCCTACTTCGTAGCCACCCACAACTGACTGATGTGCACTATGTTGAGAATGACATACCGTTAGGGAAAAAGCATGGAAAATTTGGTGAGCTGGTAAGTATGACTAGATAGATTATCGAGTATGCAAATGAATTTATTTGGCATAAAGCACAAAAATGATTGCAGCAGCAATTGTTAGCAGTAATTGCCTATTAGCATTGTTTGCAGCTTTTATGATAACAATATTTATTTCCATCTACAGGCTGTTAGAAATTTAATGCTATCTTGGTATGCAATAAAAATCCCTCTTTCTCAAACGATGGGCATAGCACCTGAACATTTTGAAGCAATTTTAGAAGCATTTGTCAGCGAAGTCAACGTACAGGATTTGTATTGGAAGACATATAGAGTTTTTGCAAGAAAGAAAACACAAGATGAAATGAACGAATATTTGTAAAAAATCCGAGATTATTATGATTAACACGTCAGGCCGTACAAGACCAAGAAGAGAGTTTTAATGTTGTAATTTCAACATGCTGGGGGGTTGTGAGGTCAGTTGACAAATTAATGAATAAGTAACGAGTTGTATAGACAAACAATGTAAATAGTAATAGATTAGTCACAACATTATCTAAAAGCAATGTAATTAAAGCAGACAACTTGCTTTTGTTTATTATTTGAATAACAAATTACTCTAGACTACTTATTTTTCATTTAATATAGACTAGGATATTTATTTAAGAACATAAGATTAACTTATAACACATTTGAGTTAATCTATAGACATGAGGTAGCAAGCACTATTACAATATTATGATACTTATATTCCAAGTCTAATACTAAAAAATGTTGTTCATTGTAAAAAGTAGTGTTGCTTAACATTTGCAAATGTAAATAAATCGCGGTCACAAATATAAAATACATGCTTACCACAAGCAGCTCAAGTTTGACTCTTCATTTTTATTTTATAGTCTGCAGTTTTGATCCACTTACTGGTCCGATTTTTAACACCTTGTCTATAATTTATATAATACTTACATGAGAATGTGTCAAGAATGCTTTAGCTGCAATTGATTGCAGGTCTGTTGATTATAGTCACATAAAGAAATAATGCTTTATGAATATATTAGCGCAAGAACAACGAAGATTTGTCAATATTAGTATAACCTTTTGTGCATCAACATTTCTTTAATACTAAATTTTTCTAAAAACACGGCAACATATATATGTTCTAGCCCAAATTGAAATTTGGACCATTTCAGGATTCTGATTTGAGCCAGCCATGTTCAACATGGATGTTTTGATATGATCAATTAAGCCAATAGCAAATCGTTAGGTCGCTTGTAATAATAATGATTTATTAAAATAGACATCTATGTATCTATTGTTCGTACATATTGACTGGTAAGGATAACACCGGAGCCACACCACGTCTTTTTTTTTTTAAGCAAACCGTCTTTGAAGATTTTCTGTTCTATATGTGGTCGAAAATGTTGGGCCGTGATTTGCTATCACTCATGAATTCTCGATTTTCTTAATTTTGTCAGCTACTCTTGTGTAATTAAAGCCTTAGCTTTGACATTGGCTGCTATACTCATCAATGATATTATTAAATATTTCAAGAGACAAAACTGAACATGATTTTACGATTAGTGATTGGGATAAAAGTTAGCTCTAAGTAAATTAGTGGTTTATTATCTAACATATTGCAGTTTTTTGTGTATACAGTGCGCGAAAAAAGTAATGAGAATGACGTTTTTATTTATAGTACAACGAAAACGGGTTAAAAATATACAAACATTTGCAGGTATACTGCCTATGATATGATAAACAAGTTTACTTAAGACTGCTTAATAGTTTATCTTATTACCATTCCTTGCAATTATTTCCTCCAATCTTCTTGGCATGCTACAAGCCAAATTAACAAAGGCTTCAGTTTTGACCCCATCACCATCACGAAAACAACCTTTGGTAATTGCTTTTTTTTTTACTAACAGTTTGTTGACTTGTTTCTCTATACAATTCTTTATAAAATTTCGATTGGTTTAATATCTGGACGATTAGACGGCCAATCCATAATTTTTGGGCATTGCTGCATGAGGAGTTCCATGGTTTCCTTAGTTTTATGCTTCGGATCATTATCTTGTTGGTTCGTCAAATTTTATGATTAGCACAAACTTGTTTAATAACTCAACTCATCAAGCAATAAATAATGCATAATAGCAATGACGATAGTGAACAGTACATTGCTGTTCTACCATTCTGTTTATCGCTTAAACCAAATTCTCTACAAGGTTGGTAGTAAATCGAAAAGCGCAGATTTGTTAATTTTCACACGATCTGTCCGTATTTAAGCCCAAATTTGGTTGACAAGTTGGCTGGCCACACACCTTAAGCTTAAACCTAGATGGTTAAGTCTTGAATATCATCCTCCAAATTGGAAATTTTCAAGCATTCTTTCACAATGATAACTAGGTAGGGGTTTTTTGGGAGGCCTCGCCCCCTCCCCGTCTAGTAATTGAGAATTTGTTAACGTTAACGATTTAATTTCTAAAAAGGAAATACATGAAGAGTGACAGTAGTTTGTGTTATTAATCTATGAGTGAGATTATTTGTATACGTAAACAAAGAATATTTAGAGTAAGTAATATAATATGATTATTTAGACCTAGTCGAACTGGGCTTTTAAATTATAGCTTTATCTTATAAAAAAATTTTCGTTGCTTTAATTTTATTATGTTATTCATTTATTGGGAGGCCTTGTATGAGGTGAGTACGTGGTAAGGATGGTAGTTCTTTGTTTGTTTATTTTTAATATAGATAAGACAACATCGACAGACAGGATTTCCGTCGATTGATTTACTCTAGCTATTTTTTTGCTATTTGGAAAACTCAATCGAGAGTAACACAAATGCACCAGAGCACCGCTGTTATTCCAGGCTGTCATGCGAAAATTAAGCAGTCAATTAGCTTCATAACGATATAAAATTTTTTGTTGTTTACTTAGTAAATAAAGCTAATACAGATTTTCGAAAAGATAAATTTTTCGTATTAATATGTTTTACTAATTAATCGGCATAGGTGGTTGTAAAATCTTGGCAGGCCACTGTAAATAACAAGTATACAGTGCATGACTTTTTTGACTTTTGGTCACGCGGTTTTTTCGGTCTGTTTCAGATCTGGAAATTATTGTCGTTATCTCAGTTTTTTTTTCAAATCTTAGAAGGAATACAGAAGTACATAATATTTTATATTATTCATTGCCTAATCGATTGGACAGATATTTTACATTGCAGACAAACTTTGACTTTGCCGTTACAGTAACGTGCAAAAGTATCCTACCGGTTGTATCATCTAAACGTACATAATACAGTAACGTGCAAAAGTATCCTACCGGTTGTATCATCTAAACGTACATAATAATAACTCCTTAAATTTTCC